AGTAAGTGTTGTGATTTGAAGAGGATTGTTCTTCATTCACATTAGTGTTTGTTTGGTCTTAAAGGTGTTAAGAACCTTTGATCACCCTATAGGTTAGATAGTAAGCATAGGCTGTACAATCATTCTAACTATAGTGAAATCTCTTTCGTGTTGGAAAGGAGACTAGAGTACTCTCGGATTGTGAGGGGAACCAGGATATATCACTGTGTTCTTTACTTTTCCGCATTTATCGCTTTCATCACCATAATCGAGAAAAGATAAGGATATAATCAAAACCTTCAAATACTTAACCAAAAATTACTACCAAGCATTCTCATAAAACCGAGTAAATTTTTATAAGACCTAATTCACCCCCCCCCCCCCCCCCCCCCTCTTAGGCACTCTGAGACTTACATTTTTCTCAACCAATGCTCATTTTGAAGTAAATTCAATTCTCTACAACTTTGCCTCTCTAAACTCAAGTCCAAAAATGCTTCATTTGAGAGATATGGGCCAAAATATTATAGGTCATTTCAAAAGTCAACAAAAGGGTACATATTGATATTTTCAAAAATTGAGAGAGTTATGATTGGTGCAAGTTGGGAAATTTTGAGAAAATGCATGAAATCCAAATTGATCAAACTATTGATATTTTCAAAAATTCCAAGATCACCTTCATATGATAAAAATTGAGAGAGTTATGATTGGTGCAAGTTGGGCAATTTTGAGAAAATGCATGAAATCTAAATTGATCAAACTTGAAGTTTTAGGCTAATGGATTTATCTTTCAAGGTCCAAACATGTTCTAGACCTCATAATGAACCTCTAAATCTATTCATACACGCTTTTAATTTTCTATTTCATTTATTTTGGTTTTATTCATTTAAATTCAAAATTAAATTAAATAAATAATAAAGGGAGGTGTAAGGCTTTAAAGGATTTTGTTTCAAGAATTTTGGAGGCCCAAGATTGCATTAGAAACCGTGTGAGGTTTATTTTCAAAACAAATATTGATATTTTGTCTTACTCCAATTTCTATTTTCAAACAAAAATCAAAGGTTTGCATACAAGGTCCAAGCCCATCTTTCTTGACCTAATATTCTCTTATAAATATCCCTCATCTTCAGAAAACAAGGACACGAAAAACCTTGCAAGAGAACTCCCTCAAAAATATCAAAATTTGTCCAAACTAAGGCAAACTTAAAATCATTGTTCCATCTGTTCTCAAAGCAAATCAGTTGTTCCAATCAATCCCTGATGTGTTATAGGGTAAGACTTGATTGTTCTTGATGATCAAAAGTGCATAAAACAAGCATTCCAAGCATGGCCGGTTGCCATATTTTATGAATTTTGTATTTTAACTTTTATCGTGCTTTGATCCATACTAATGTTTCTAATGTGTCTCTGAGATGTAACTATACAAGATTGAGCCATCACATGAGGCCAGACATCATGCATTGCCATTGTTACACCGATTTACATTATTTTCTTTGTATCTCATCATGCAAAAAGAATTATCCAAAACTAAAGTCACCAATGAATTCGCAAGGGTCAAATTAATGGGGTAGGATCCTCTTTGTTCACTAAAGCGTGTTTATTTTGCAAGTACAAGAAATCAGATCGTTGGAGAAGATGACCGGAGCTAGGTTTCTGGCGCCTCTCTTGTCCAACTATTTTGTTTATTTTATATTTAATCATTTTCATTCTAATACTGGATGTAACAACCACCTCAGTGGAAAGAGCGTGAGCGTTAAGGCATTGATCTATGAGGGTGTGAGTTCGATCCCTACCTTTTTGTAACTTTTTTTCTATGTTTCCAATTTGTGCAGGTTTAATATATTTTGTGTAGCGCCTGTTCTTCAGACACAAACCAACACTTGACTTAATGGCAAATGATGTAGGACAAAGGCAGGAGGGCGTGAGTTCAACACTCACCCAGACAATTTTTTTCCTTATTTTGGTTTTCTACATATTTTCCTTGATTTCTCTTCCCCTAACCCTAATTCGTTTTTAATTAACTATTAATAAACCTTTTTAACCCTAATTAATTAGGTTTAGTTTTTTTAATTAACATTTAATTAATTAATTAACTAACCCTTTTTTAATTTTAAAATTAATTAGAATTTTTAGGTTTTAATTAATTATTATCATAAACTATTTTCTTCATAAAAAAACAGGAAAAAAAACATTTTTCTTTTCTATTTTCCTCTTTTGTTTTTCTTATAACTATGTTCCTAGATCAATTGTATAGGTCGCGCATTCCCTATGTAAATAACTTAGGTTTATTTTTCTCGCATTTTTCCTATTATGTAACTGCTCCGAGCATGTAATAGTTTTAGGGTTTACTTTCCCGCATCTTTCATTCTTATGTAACTGCCACGAAGCCATATAATAGTTTTAAGTTTATATTCTGCATTATATTTTATGCAACCGCTAGTAAATAGGGTTTGTATGGCATGACTAAAATCAATCATAGCAAAACCCTAAATTCAAGACTAAATAACTGAAACTAACACACTTTCACACTCACACCTCTAGGATAACCTCTCTTCGTTGCCTTTCGAAATAATGGTCATGTCCCTCAAAAGTAGGGATATTTTAGCAAAATACCCTCAAATAAAGATCGTAGTCCCTCGATGACCCTTCAATGTTGCCTCTCAAAAAATGATTTAGTCCCTCCGATACAATTGCTAAAGCATCTCTACATGTTGTCTTCGATGACCCGTCGCATGTCCCTTCACATACAATAGATAGGCCTACCTATTAACTAATGGTATGGATAGCACTATCTCTAAAAGAGAAGGAAAAGAATAAGAACGACCTTGAGTGGGTAAAAAACTTTTAAACCGCTTGCGCACAAGTCTTTTCTAAAAAATGAAACATTTCTCACAACACATTTTTCGAACAAAATATTTTCAACCACTTTGTATACATTCTTAAGGACTGATACAAGAATTATTACAAAGTTAGTCTTATATTTGCATCTTCAAAATACTTTGAAACAAATCACACACACAAAATAAGTTTTCAAAAGTGAGCTAAGCGATTAAGAGCCCGTATATATCTACGGATGAAAAGGATGCTAACATCTTCCCTTTTCATAACTTACCCCCCGAACTCAAAATCTATCAAGGTCTTTCTTGTTATTTTCACCCTTTCCTTATTGGATAAAAGAAAAGTCAATGACGACTCTAGCTATCTGCACATTTTTGATAAAACCATAAAATCAATTCTTCCATTGTATTACAAACATAAAGAATAACTCTATCATCTTCAACTAGAACCACTTGATTAATACAACATCAGCAACATAAACATAACCAACAAGAGCATAAACACCAACTCTTCCATCCACAATCATGGATATAAATGTGTCTCATAAATATTCAACAATAACAACAACAACATAAACAATAACTTTTTCATCCACAACCATAAATACAAATGTCTCTCATGCTCATTCAACAATAATAAGATAAACAACAACAACATACATAAACAACAACTCTTTCATCTACAACTAAAATCACTTGATCAAATCCAACACTTTCGTCTAACCCTATAATACTATATCCACGACCATGGATGCATTTGTAGCTAATACACATTCAACAACTATAACATAAATATTAACAACAAGAATATAATCATTCAACATGATATGTCTATGAGACACATTCAACAACAATAACATAAACAATAATACCAACATTCGACATCAATAATATAAACAACAACAACAACAACAACATAAAAAACAACAACAACATTCAAGATCGATCATTTACTATACATGCATGGTGAAATTTTTATGCACCTAAAACGCGATTAATAAGTAAAAGAGATCAATCTTGTAAGATTCTTCTTCGTTCTCTTCTGTGTTTCATGCACTTTTCGTAGCTTTGCATGATAAGCCATGAACGGTAGTGATGATGTTTTTTCTATGTTAAGCCAAAAACGCTAATGATGGCTTTGTACGCTAAGTCAAGAATAATGTGTGTATCGTTTCGTTAATGGAACTGAAAATATGGTTAAGGTTCAAATGGTTTCTTTGTGTTGAATGTATTAGGGTTCAAATGATTTCTCAATGATGAAATGAAAAAATGGCAATTGAATACACAAGATATGTTGTGTGTCTTGTTTCTGAAGAAAACATTTTACCACAGTCGATTAAACCAACTATGGTGATATCAGATTTATTTAATTTAAATTTTATAGAAAGAACCAGTTTTTAACCATTTAAAAATTTAAAAAAGAAAAAAAATATAACAACTGTTGATTTAAACAACCGTAGTGACATCTAGAATATTGTTCACTATTAACATTGATTTTTTCTTAGAAATTATGGAATAACCTCATTCCTTAAACTACAACTTTGTGGCCGGATTATCATCCATCACTCAAAAACTTTAGACCTTTAAACGCTGACTTTTTGTCTTAGAAATAAGATTTCAAATACAAAATTATCATATGTTACTCAAAACTTGGCATATGAGTAACATTTAATATGTTCCGCATGCTGAAAATATATTCATTAACTAAGAAAGAAAAAAATAACAAATTTAGGGGCTATACCAATTCCTAAGAAAAATAAAAGAATTGGTATCAATTACTTCATTAATATTTAAAAAAAAATTATATATAAAGGAGAAAAAAAAAGAAGTAAAGTGCAATATATATAAATCACTTAACTAATATGACATCTAAAAATAAATCTAATACAATGAAGAAGCAATCAATTTTAAATTCATTTAAAACAAAGAAGGAACAAACATTTATTTATAGAGGACAAGTTTCACAACAAGAAGTTCTTTATTTTGGGACACATAAATTATGACGATTCTATAAAAAACTGTCCTCTCTCTCTCACATTACGACAGTTCTCGAGCCAGTTCGTGTTGACTGTGGTAGTAGAACATATAAATTAATGAAAGAGAGCTCAATTTATTCTGTCTTTGAAGATGATAAGGATATGAAAAACAATAGAAAATCCAAAACAAGAGCTAAATATTTTTTAATAGCTAATCCAAAATCTTGTACTGATGAATTTCTTTATACTCAACCTCTTGTTTACTGAAATCAGCATGGGTTCTATTAGCATAATATTTTCCAAAATTGTAGGCTTTGTATTTTGTAGGATTTTGCTCACTCACTAGCTCTTCTGCAGGTTTCACAATAATATGGTGACCTGGAAAGAGGAAGAATGGATAGGAAAACCTTTCTTTCTGTGAGTTTAATACCACCCTGTGTTCTGGACTATCATATTTGTCATTGCTCCAAACCTTAAAAAAAACACCCAACATTAATATTGAAGCAATTAAATCAATCACCAAAATGTCGTTAATTAATTTTTCTTCTAACTTGAAATTTAGGATTTATATATAATTATGCTATTATTAAATTTATAAAAATGTATTTACCGCTTTGACAAAAAGAACTTATAAATTAATTCTCTGAAATTGAATTAGACCAAACACTTAATTTGATCTTAAAGTATATTACAAATGTATAAATGAATCGATATATTAGTTGTGCCCTCAAATCAAATTTTGTTAGTTTTTTAATGGTAAACTTATATATATATTAGAAAATAAGTGGAAAAAACCATCAGAGTACACAAGAAAGGTTATCCTAAACCCATGTCAAATTAAACTGCTTTTTCATTATGCTATTATAGAAACAACGCACCTGAAGAACATCACCTAGATTGACAACCAATGCATTAGGAATAGGTTTAACTGGAACCCAACCACCAAGTAAATTTTTCTTAACTTGTAAACCTCCAATATCATCTTGTAAAACCACGGTCAAGATACAAGGATCCTTGTGAGAACCAACCCCAAGTGCCAAATCAGGAAAAGGGCATGGAGGATAGTAATTGAGCCTCGTAAAGCTTAGATGGTTCTTGAAGCAGTCAAGGAATTTGCCATCAGCTAAGCCTAAGCTCAATAAAATTAACTCCAACAACTTGTAAGATAGTTTTTCTAATTTCCCACCATATTCCTCCATTATTTTCCTAAGAAAAAAAACATAATGATGGTTTTATGTTGCCTTAATTTATAAACTATGTGGAGTTTGATTTTATGTGATCATTGATAAAATCATCATATACATATGCATGATTATGTGCTTGATGTTTTGTCTTTTTTACAAAGAACAAGGGATTTTGGATATTATGCATATGCATATGATTATGTGGAGTTTGTTTTGCCTTTTTACAAAAGAAACTTTTCATAAAATTTTAAATGAAATTTTGGTTTGAATGATTATATTCAAAATATTATTTTAGATATATTGAAATTTTTTTTAAATATTAAAATTTTAAAAATTTAATCAATTTTGAAGCTATTTCAAATGATTTTTTTATAAAAATAAATTTTGAAATACAAATTTATAAAACAATTGTCATTTTGACTATAATTTATTCTTCAATAATATATGTTTATGTTATAAGATGTCAAAATTAATTTTTCTATTAAAAAATTGTAATATTTCGAAAATAGGTTTTATAAAATTCATTTTTAAAAAATCATTTGATAATTGTAAGAGTACCTAAAATGTGGAAGGGATTGTGGCCATTGATTTTTTTGAGTACATAGCTCCAAGTCATGTGGATCATCAGAACAAGGGATTTGTACTCCATCTTTAGCAAGAAAATCATAAACCTCTTTCCAATCTCTTGTTGTCTTAGTATGTTCAGCATCATGATACCCCGTTGTATTAAATGCATCTCTTTTCAGTTTCTTTTTTTCTTCTATACTTAGTTCAAAAAACTTTCTGGCTTCGTTTTCAACCTTCGTGATAAGTTCAGAGGGAACTCCATGATTGATTATTTGAAAAAATCCCCATTTTTCACATGCCTTACCAATTTTTGAGATGAGATTTTCTTGACTAGTTTCTGAGAGGTCAATGATTGGAATTTCATCAACTTCGACAAAGGTAGAGAAATTGGGACGGTGTTCTTTGGGTAGTATGTAAGCTGGATCTATGTCTCCCATGTTTTGAGTGTTTTTCTCTCTCGTTTTCTCAAAAAAAAACTTGCAATATATTAGAATTATGTAGGTATATTGTTCTTTTTTCTTTGAGTGTTTTTTGTCATCTGTTTATATAGAACTATAAGCATAATACAATACGGCTAATGTGGACAGTTTTATAATTCTAATTGAAGGATGAAAATAATTTATAGCGAACGTGGACGGCTTTCTAAGTGGCCGTACTAAGAATATTATCTTTCTAACCATTCCTTCTAACACTCAATATTTTATATTAATATTTCCTGAAAGTTTATCTTAGTATTTCCAAAACCTAATCACTATGCACTGGACATTGACATGACCCACTAAGTGCAACTTACATAATATTTCTTGTGCTCTTACTCATGAATATCAGACTAAAAGCTAACTAATCACTATTCTAAAGCTAGCCTGAATAATAATAATAATAGTCATGGTACCCCCAGCTAGCCTCAATTATACTAAACATCTATAGACAAAAAGAAATTGAGCGTAGGATCAATGGAAGCTCATCAATTATTCAATGACTTTTAAAATGAAACAAAATTAGTCTGTTTCTTTCATGTGGAATTCAAAAAATATGTTCCTGAAAATCCATATTTTGAAAAGAGAGAGCTCTTCATGCAATACCTTGATATATGTTCATATGATGGGTAGGTAATCAACTTGGATGTTGGATCTCACTCTCTCTTGATTTGTGTCACTAGTAGAAAAACAAGTTGTTAAGTCGGTTAAAATCACATTCTTAAGTCGGGTCCGAGACTAACCTAAGAACTGCCAACATAAGAAGATGTAACTTTCTAAGTTGGATTTTTAACTGACTTATGACTTAAGAAAGTGTTATTAGGTCAGATTAAAACTGCCTGAGTTAATAAGCGTAGGCTTTAAGAAAAGCTCATAGGCCATTTATATCCGATCTAAGAGCTTTCTTTATTAAATTGGATTTAAATAATCGACTTAACAAATTAATTTTTTTAATATTTTTTTGGATGCCACATTTATATATACACACACAAGACTAACCACAACAACATAACAACACAACAATATCTCACCTAGACTTCAAAATAAAACCATAAAAGTAAAAATATTGTCATATCAAATTAAAACATCATTGTAATCAAAATATATATACATCCCCTACGTGCCAACAGGTGAATTCAATTGCACTAAAATATAAACTCAATAGAGGTAACAGTCTTATAAAAAAGGCATGAACAAGAGTTAATACTTTGGTGAAACAATAATTATTGTCAACATCCAACACAAAACACGACCAGGGTGTTCACCACGCCCAGTGGCTTCTGTCAAAATATCTTGTTGTCCTTGTGGGCACTAGTGCAAAAATGACTTTTTACATCAGGTGAAATTGACTTTTTACATCGGTTTTGGGTCCGATGTAAAGTCAGGCGATATAGTAAATCAGGGACTTTTTACATCGGTTCTGGGACCGATGTAAAAAGTCCCTTTTTTACATCGGTTATAATATCAGAGCCGATGTAATAACCTGTTATTATGCACATTTTTTTAAAAATTGATCCAGTTTTTTACATTGGTTGGAAGTAATACTCGATGTAAAAAGTACCTTTTTTACATCGGTTATAATATATGAACCGATGTAAGAAACAATTATTATGCATATTTTTTTAAAAAATTGATCCAGTTTTTTACATCGGTTGGAAGTAATACCCGATGTAAAAAGTCCCCAGTGACGCGACTTTTTACATCGGTTATTATCTCCAACCGATGTAAAAAGTCCCTTTTTGAAAGTTTTTACATCAGTTTTTACTAATAACCGATGTAAAATGTATGAAATTTTTTTGGAATAGATTATTTATTTTCTGGGTTTCCCTATACAAATATAATTTGTACTCATTTTTTCATATTTTTCCAATATCAAACAGACTATATTTATGTCGCTATATAGATTTCATAGCTTTCCAACATCACATATATCACATTTAGGACGATGTTTTCATATTTTTCACAACAAACTTACAAATTGAACAATTGTATTGCAAACTTGTATTGTATTACAACACTTGATAACGGAAAACTCACTTACAGTTGAAACCCACGATGAATCGGCGGCGAGGAATCAGTTGAAACGGCGAGGCGACGGTGAGCCGTTGAAACGGCGGTGAATCGGGCGGCGACGGTGATCCGTTGACGGTGTTGGGTGTTGGAGGCGGTAGGCGTCGTGGAAACGGTGTTGGCGGCGACGGTGTTGGCAGCGGTAGGCGTCGTGGAAAAATGGGTCGGAGAATGGGTCGTCTAATGGAAAAACGGTGTAGGCGTCTGTAGATGTATAGTGTTCGCGAATAAAAGTAAATTGTTTTTATACTTTTTTACATCGGTGGACCTTCCAACCGATACAAGGGGTTGGGCTATTACATCGGTGGAAAGTCCCATCGATTTAATATTTTGCTTTTTTTTTTTTACACGCGTTTGACTATTACATCGGTGGAAAGTCCCACCGATTTAATATTTTGCTTTTTTTTTTACACGCGTTTGGCTATTACATCGGTGGAAAGTCCCACCGATTTAATATTTTGCTTTTTTTTTTACACGCGTTTGGCTATTACATCGGTGGAAAGTCCCACCGATGTAATATTTTACTTCTTTTTTTTTACACGCGTTTTTATGATTTTTTAATACATTTTAAATATTAATTCAAGCTATGGCTATTACATCGGTGGGAAGTCCCAACCGATGTAATATCTTCCTTTTTTTTTTACACGCGTTTTTATGATTTTTTTAATATATTTTAAATATTAATTCAAGCTATCATTTTTTACATCGGTGGAAAGACCAACCGATGTAATATCTTGCTTTTTTTTTACACGCGTTTTTTATGATTTTTTAATATATTTTATATATTAATTCAAGCTATCATTTTTTACATCGGTTTTTATTTAAACCGATGTAATATATTGCTTATATTTTTTTACCGTTTTTGTCACCTTGTTTCTTATTTACAAAAATGCCACCGTGTTTTTTTTCTGGAAATCTTTTACATCGGTGGATGAGATTGCCCGATGTAATAGGTGACGAAAAAAAAATTTCCCTTATTTTTTATATCATTGCAAATAAATACCTGATGTAAAAAGTTTGTTAACTGTATTTTTTACATCACCTATTTTGATACCCGATGTAAAAACTTTTTTTCAAATGTCTTTTTTTTAGTAGTGGGGACAAAGGTCCCTTATGACACTAGAGCATCCTACAAAAATCACAGGGAACATATTAGTCCAAAACTAGTAATAGAAAACACACTAATATGGTTTGATAAGTTATTTATATTTTTAAATAACTATTGGTGTATACATGTAAATGTCACGTTTTCGATATATATATAAAATTCAACTTCTAAACATTATATTTTATGTGATTTCATTATGATACAAGAACTTGATTGATGATGTATAATTATTATCACATATATGATATATACATTCCGCAAATGATGAGAATCATTGATTCGGTATAACTAATATGTAATATGTCGAGGAAATTAAGCTTATATGTTACAACAAAACTTTGTAATCATGTTTAGGTATCAATAACTAATATAGAAGACATCACTTGTGTTCAGCACCTGTATTAAGTGTAACACTCTGATTTAATTAAGGTTATTTTTATTGAAAAATAATTAGATGATATGATGTATTTACAGTGATGATATATTTTACAATATGATGAGATGCTATTTAGAAATTAGAGGTTGAATTGTTGGGGGTGTATGACTAAAAGCGTAGAGACCATGAGGTGAATAGGGAATATGAGCATTATTAATATCAAGATTTATATTAATTATTAATATTATTAATATTATAGATACAATTTATTTATAATGTTAGTAATTAAATAATTAATTAAAAATTAGAAGGGCAAGGTAGGAATATAAATTTAGGGGTCTAAGATGTGTTATTAGAAAACAAAAGTGTGAACACGAGAAAATAGATCGTAAATGTGAGAAGAAGAAGAGAAAAGGAAGAACCTAAGGCAAAAGGAAACACTCCATTGGAGAAGGGAAGAAAACTCAAAATCTAAGGTAAGGATGGGGTTCTAACTCTATAAGGGCTTGTATGATGATGGGTTATGGTAGAGTTAGGTTGAGTGATTGTTTAATCATTCTTTGTGTGAAATTGGTGCGTATGTGATTTGTATATGTGATGATTTGAGATATTTAATTGATGTGTGTAACTCTTGATTTTGAAGATGTAAAGTAATATCATTGATGATTATGATGTATGCCCATTAGGTATGATAAATTACTGTTATTTCATGTGAAAATTTGGTGTTTTGGAGTTTTGAAAAGATGTGAATCGTAAGTTGTAAATTGCAGATTTTTGGAAAAATAACAGTGGTAACCGGGTACCACCTGGGGGTAATCGGTTACCACGTGCAAAAACTTGAGTTATAGGAAAAATTGTGAGGAGGTAACCGATTACCATTATAAGGTAACTGGGTTCCAAAGACTTTGGCAGGATGGATGTTTTTGTGAAAATAGCAATAACCGGTTACCACCTAGGGGCAATCGGTTACCGCGAGAATTTTTGAATATATAGAGTTACAATTTTAGAAGTAACCGATTACCATTGGAGGGTAACTGGTTAACATTGAGACATGATGGCACATTTTCTGAAAAACTTTAAAAACTCATAACTTTTTATTCGGTTGTCCGTTTGACGCGTCGTTCGAACCTATGAAGAGCTAAAAATATGTTCTACTAAAAAAAATTAATTGAACAAGATATGAGATGATTTTATGGATTTTGTTTTATTCCGACATATTGTTGTAATTGTGAAGTTGTGAATAGCGACGTGTGATTAACGAGTTATATTGGCTTTTTTTGTTGATGTGTATTGTGTCATTGTATTTGTTGTCATAACATGTTAGTGTTTCATGCATCTTCATAAGCGACAATGTAACGTTAATGGCAAGTGACAGTGTAACCTTAATGGAAAGTGACAGTGTAGCCT